TGCCACAGCATGTCACGTGTAATATTAGGGACCATGATGTTTCAATTAGTAAATCAAGGTTGAAACTTAGAGATGGTATTTTTTCCTCAGGATTTGTGTTTAGTGAGTTTCTTTTTTTCCCCCCTTGTCAGTATTGTAGATAGCATATCTTGGGTCTCAGTGTTTTTTTTGTGAAAGCTTCTGTTGGGTCTTCAAATTATCTAATTTATTTGGATTATTACAGTTACAGTTACTAGGATCTCAGAGGCAATACTACTGCCAATTTATTTCTTTTTATTTCTTTTTGTTAGTGATGCTTGTAGTGTTACCTCTAGGACAAAAGAATAGGAAGCTTTGAGTGGAGGTGTAGTTGTTTAGCTCTCTATCTTCCTTGCTGAGACAGAGTATGGCAGTGCTGCAGTGCAGTGATACTTCAGCTGGCATTAAACTAATTATTTTGGGTACATGAAGCATTCTGGCTACAGCAGAATGAAGTCAAATATGCTCTGATTTTCCCTGCCAAAAGGCTTAGCAACTTGGGCACCAATGAATGAATAACAATAAATAGCAATGTCTGGATAGGAACTTATGGGGATGTCATGGTTCAAGCCCAGCTGGCAACTAAGTACCAGGCAGCTGCTCACTCACTTCCCACCCCACCTCAAGTGGGATGGGGATGAGAATTAGCAGGGGGAAAGTAAAACTTATGAGTTGACATAAGAAATGAAATGAAGTAAAATATAATAAGAATAGAAAAGAAGAGGGAAAGAGAGACAGAAAAGCCTAGAGAAAAAAGTGATACACAATTGCTCATCACCCACTGACAGGTACCCAGCCCATCCCTGCACTGCAACCATTCCATTTCTGGGTAACTCCTCCTGTTCATGGACTGGGCATGTTGTTCTATGGGATGGAATACCCCTTTGGATCAGATGTCCCAGCTATCTTCCCTTCCAGCTTTTGTGAAGCTCTTCACTGGCAGAGCATGAGAAGTCCTTGACCTAAGGTAAACACTACTTAGCAACAACCAAAACGTCAGTGTACTACCAATATTATTATACTGAATTCAAAACACAGGACTGTACCAGCTACTAGGAATAAAATTATCCCAGCTGAAACCAGAACAGGGAGAGCTTGTCATTCTGAAATTTTTCATATTCCCTACATTGCTTCTGTAGTCTTTTATCTCTTTTTTTCTAACTTCAAAGGAAAAAATGAAGCAAAGAAGGATGACAGAATGCAGAAGCTGTGGGCAATGCATCATCCAACAGCAGACACTTGACTGTAGCTATTTCTCAGGCAAAGGGTCTGTGCAATAATTCCCATGTTAGGCAAAGCTGACACCTTACACAGAAAATAAGAGTTGAATTGAATGAGAAGATAGACTGGATTGTGGTGATCATGTACAGAGCTCAAGCATACTGACCAGTGACTCAGCTGTCCCCTTTTGTTCCCCTCCCTCCAATTTCCCATTCCTATTCTCGGGTTTAACACAATGACCTCTCTTTATCCCCCACTGTCTACTCTCAAATAACTTTCCACCCTGACTACTTTTTCCTCACCTAACTCTGTATCCAAACTTGGTGTTTCTGGTGGGGTTACCTAGCCAATCATTTAGCAATCACCCAGCAAGTTTTACTCTTCAAAATGTCCTTAGTTCTCTGCTCCACTGTCTGTGAGATTTCATAGAATCATAGAATCATTTAGGTTGAAAACGACCTTTAAGGTCATCGAGTCCAACTGTTACCTTAACACTGCCAAGTCGATCATTAAACCATGTCCCTAAGTGCCACATCTACACTTTTAAATATTTTAAATACCTCCAGGATAATACCTTCTCTGGATCACTTGTCCCAATGCTTAATAAACCTATCAGTGAAGAAAGTTTACCTAATATCCAATCTAAACCTCCCATCTTGGCCATCCTTACATCATTCCCTCTTAACCATCTGTGAAATTTAGTCATTCTTCGTGATATTATCTGTAACTGGATATTAGGAAGCATTACTTTACCAAGAGGGTGGTCAAACAGTGGAACAGGCTTCCTGGAGAGGTGGTGGATGCCCCAAGCCTGTCAGCATTTAAGAGGCATTTAGACAGTGCCCTTAATAACATGCTTTAACATTTGGTCAGCCCTGAAGTGGTAAGGCAGTTGGATGAGATGTTCCTTGAAGGAAAATGTTCCTTGTACTGTAACATTGTTCCTTACAAATGAAATAATCGATTCTAAATATGTTCAGACTGGATATAAAGGATATTTCTAATCAAGAGAGAGGGGAGTGTCTGAAATGTGCTCCCCAAAAGTGTTTTGACCAGAACAATCCCCAATAACAACTAATGAAGCTTACAAGACAGCTTCATCAAGTGTGAGTGAATGTGGTTGCAAGTCTGAGTTAAATTTATCTTGTGATGTGCCTGTGATTTGATACCTAATGCTGGTGCCAAAACAGATCATAAGGAAGTGGCTGTGTTTTCTTCATAAATTTTAATAATGGCAAATATAGACCAGAAAATAATATGTATAGTTTCATTCCAAACTGCTATTTGTGTTCTGTGATCTTCAAAACCCTTTTACAGTTAATATTATTATTATTATTATTACTATTATTGAGGGTTTGAAGCATAGAAGGAAAGAAAAATTTTGCTACAAGTTTGAAATTTCAACCTAGTTTTACAAATAAATATCAAACGTTTTTGAAGTGCTGGCAAGAAAGAATAGTGAGAGAAAACAACTTTGCCTTTTCCCCCACTACCACTTTCTATATTTTCTCTAAAAGCCTGCAGTGCTTTCCTGAGGAACTGGAAACCTTGCCATAACTTTTAATTCCTACAGAAAGGAGGCCTGACCAGAGTTTTCCAGAGCTAAACATGTGTCTCAAGCCATTTTCATGTTTTCATGATTTTGCTTTCTCCAGAAATTGAATCCAATATCAGAGAAATATGTTTAGTAAACGATGTTCTTTTACACAGTGGAAGAAGAATTGATATTTTAATTAAAAATACAAAAAAATATAGGAGACTGTGGACAAAAACGTTATTTGCAGGATAGCACACTAAACCTAGAAAATTTAAAACTATCTATTAGAAAACTGAGAACTCAGACCTGGGTGAAGTGAAAGATATTTGCATTTAGTCCTAGCCCAAGCTGTGGAGTGTGGAGGAGAACAGGGTCCTGAAAAACATAAAGCATTTAAAATCTTTATTAGTTTTTTAAACTAAACCCTCCTAAACATATTTGAGTTTTTAATTTTTTCTTTGTTCTTGACATAAAAAATGAGGTGAGAGAAGTATGAAAAATGGAAATGCAGAAATTTAAGACTCATGTTAAACAGTTTGATTAAAAATTTGAAGATAAGATTTAGAATCTTGGCATTCAAATAACCAGCTCCTTCTGGTATCCTTTGCAGAGGGAAGTACTGGATGTGAGTATAAAATGAGGATAAAATATGATATTAATTTGCACTGAAGTAGCAAATATTCTACAGAAGTCTCAGGTCATTAATCTATCTTCCAGCTAAGGGAACTACATTAATAGCTTATGGGATTTACAGGGCAAGCTTCAATTTAATGGTTCACCCTAAGTTTGGGGAAAATAGGAAAGGGCAGGATACTGGAGGATACATTATATCTTGATGCATTAAAATCAATGGCAAAACTTTCTTGGCCTAAAATGGCCCCTAGATAGTTTCTAATTTCATTGCTGCTGCTGAACGTTAATTGCCTGTCTGCAAAGTGGAAGAAACTATATTTTCCTGACGTGTTAAAACTGACAGTAATCCTCATAGCTCTGTCTTGAATAGGAAAATAATCTGAATTAATGTTAAGCTTTAATTGCATTTTTGGAGGTGAATGGGATGGAAGTTGTTTTTTTAAAATGTGACCTCAGCCTAAAAAAGACAAATATTTGCAGTGAATTATAAGACGATACCTGCAGGGTCACACAGTTTCACTTGTGGTATTTTCTAAGGAGCTCTCATCAGTGGAGTGCTGCCTGTGTTTTGTCACTAGTCACTATGTTCTTCAAATTATATTATTTCCCTGGGCTCTGAAGCTAGGTGAGAAACCCTTTTTTATGTTTCTTGCTGTTGGAGATAGGGTCTGCCTTTGTAAATGGAGAGGGGAGCATATTACATAGTTTGCAGCTGATTCATGAGAAGGCTCAGAACAAGAAATAGGGAATAATGTCGTAATTTAATAGCTGAAATTCTGTCTTCACAGGGGAGAGTCACTAGTACAGCACCTATAAATCAGTGTTGGTGCAGTGCATCATCAGATACGCAACCTTTTTTAAGGTGATAATTCCCATAATTTGGGTGTTGACCTTGTTCTATGTTGTACAGACTTGTAATCTGTGTTTTTCTGAGTGATCCCCACAGGTGGGACATTTCTAATGTGAAGTCACACTGTGAGGCACCTCTGAGTGTGCTAGGAAGATGAGATTATAAATATTCATTGCTCTTGCAACCTTGGGCTATGAATGTTTCAAATTTTATAAGCTAAGCAGAACTGGGCATAGTCAGAGAGAAAAGAAAATCTCAAAACTTTGGTAATTCCAGGTGATAAATGAAGCAGAATGAGTAGAAAATGAGAGTTTTTCTGCTAGGCTGATTTTGAGCCAACATGCTAATTTGATTAGGAGAAGTACATAAGCACAATATAAAATCTAATCACTTATGACAAAACCAAGTCAGGCTGGATTTCCCTCCCTTGGAAATACAATAACTGCTTTGTGGTCTGCTTTCATCACTGAAACTATAGGTTTGGTCACCTTACGGGTGTAAGGAAAAAGAGTGGGTGCTGTCAGGCTCCCCCATGCTGTCCCATCCCTTCCCATGGTTGGATTCCCACCACTGGCCATGGGACATACAATTAGAAAAGGGACCACATCATGAGCCTGGTGAAAAATCTGGCTTGGATTGTGTATAATGCCACTAGCAGTTTCTTTCAACTACATGTCTGACAAGTAAGGGATGAAGGGCAGCAGGAACTAATTTCATTCCTTTCCTACTTCATTTGTCCAGGTACAGAAGAAGGACTTGCTAATGCTGGGTGCCTCCCTGTGCTCTGCAATGAGATGCAGCAAAATCCAGTCCTCAAGCCTCCTTCCTAAGATCAGGTACAAATGTGTTTGTTTTTTTTTCTTTCTTAAAGAGGAGCTTTACAGATAAATTATCCCAAGGGAAAATATAATCTTATATGCCTCCCCTGACCACTGATAGATCTATGTGGCAGAAGTTCAAAAGGAACCCTGCTGCCACCAGCTTCATGGCACTGCCCTGATGGAGCCTGAAAATCATAACCCAGCGCAACTCAGAGTGTAATTGTTTTCCCATTGGGTTCGTACTCATGCAGTGTCCCTTCTGGCACAGGTAAATCTCCAAATGTCTATACCACTGGCTAGCAAGAGCCCTTTTCTCTTTTTTGTTGTTGTCTTTTGTTTTCTTTAAACCAGGAAAGACTGTAATATCAAAAGGTCATCATATTTTCACAAAATGAAATCACTGTTTCCAGTCAGCCCTGAAGTTCTCCTTTAATACACAAAGCCTCTCCTTGTTTGTGATGTGTTAAGCAGTACGAATTCAGTGGAGAAATTGGGAATGGCCGCCTTGAGGGCGACTGGCAGAAGGGAATTCTCAGGATCTATCACAGTAGAACATGGTAGCATGAAATATAAAAACGGGTTCAAAATGTAGATCCACCTCCATCCAAAGTCTTCTTCTAATACCTTTTTTTCCTCCTCACTTGGGAGTTTGGTATTGCTGGGGAAAAACAAGAAGAGAATTTTGAAATTAAATGGATGAAAATTAGATAATCCCCAGTGACCTATTTTCTTATAAGATTATGGAATTGTGTAAATCAGTGTGGTTTTTATAGTGATTAGAGTATGAGAGTGCCTGCATATATAGAGCTGGGACTGCCAAGGCAGGAGCTGAGTCTGGGACTCCTCCCTCTGTCTCTTTCTTGCTATTTCTTTTAGAGAAACAGGATTCTACTGAAAACTCCTGGAGAGTATCCTACTGTCACCTTCAGTTCAAATTTCATCATACTTCCTGTTGCAAGGGCTTATCCCACTACCCAGGGGCAACCAACCTAAGATGGGATCCTCAGGATTATCTCTGTGAAACACAGCTGGTAGTTCTTCCGTTTTTGCCACTATGCCAATTTTCTATTCTTTCCTAGCATGCCAGTTGAGCTTCTTATGAAACTGTAGTGGAAAAACAAATCAGTGTAATGCTGCAAACTATAAAAATTATTCATTTAACAATTTTTATTATTATCATGAACCTTAAAGGGGAGGGAAAAGGGGGAAATGTTTTAAACTCATGTCCCTTTCGAACAGATAATAATGCTCATTTTTTGACGCCATAAGCCCAAAGCACAATATTTCTTTAAGATACTTCCCTTTGCTTGGGGCTCTTTAACAGAGCTTAAAGACATCCTCGTCCAAAAAAAATATACTGTGCACTTGAACAAAGTACAAAGCAGGTGGAGTAATGGTTAAAATCATTAAAATCTTTACCCCCAGGATTCTGGCCTGCAGCTTGTCCCCTCTAAGCTTATGTGATGACTCATATGCATTTACATTCCCCGTGCTTCACACGGCATCTGCTGCTACACATTTGTTGAAGGATCTTGTCTTTGAACAGCTGGTGACAACCCACTTCCTCTTGCTTTCTTCAGCAGAGATTTTTCAATTGTTTCTTGTTGCTTTGATGTGAGACCCAGTGTTGGAAAAACAAGCCCATTTACCCTGATTAGAACCAGCCCTTTAAACACTTGCCAATTAACAACTCATTTGCTATTTTTCTAAGGACCGGGAAATACTTTCCCTTTCTCTCCTTTCATTTTATTCAGATGTGATTCCACATAAGCAGAACAAACTCAAACAGGTCTTATATAAAATGTTATTAATGTTTACCTTATTTGCTCCCTTCCTTTTGTCCCACAGAGTTGGAGAGGAAGGGATCCTTTGCTTTCTTCAAGCTAATTTCATGAGCTTGATGTCATGATAACCAGACTACCTTCTTTTACTGCCACTGTCACTAGTGATGAGTTTTATAGACATGACCTGCTGAAAACCAAACAGGAGAACATCACATTAGCAACACTGATACAAAAAGTGATTAATTTTAGTTACTTGATGCCAATTCTACTAACAGACATTAAGAAAAATAATTTAATATGCATGTGTTCTTAGCAAAATTAGAGACAGTCTGGTTTATGCAAGTCAAGTACGTGCAATCTTCTTTCAGAGATTCAATCTCAGCTATTTCTATGTTTTTATTCTTTCTGAAGTAAGCTGATGCTTAGTTACTGTTTTTTTCTTTTTGTTTTCTCATTCAACACTTCATATTTCCTTGTCAGGGACCACCTTTATTACACAAATGTTTTAAGGAAGTACTAAACCTTCAAATGAGGTCATCTTGTTTTCTATTTTGAAAATACCATTACTTATCTCAGACAACTCCAGTAGTAGTTACTTGAGAAACTGCATATGATCCTACCAGACCTAAAGGTAAGAGCTCTTCTGCTTTGAAATACTTGTGATTTATTACTGATTCAATGACTATACCACTCTGTAGGAATTTTCCAAGTGGAGGGTTTCCCCTTTTCCATAATTCAGGTTGAGGTTACAATCTATTGTTTAGCCTGTACTGTACTGTTTGTTCCTGTAAGTAGTATCTGTTCATATCTTCACCTATACTTTGCCAGTCCCTTAAAACATAGGTATAATTATGATACATGGCTGTTTAGGTGTTCTGCACCTCTCCACAGAGATATCTTTGACAACCACTGCATACTCTGAGTTGAGTTTTCCTTTGCAAATGTCACAGAGCATCTGATTATAGAGGAAGGAGTTTTCTTGGAGAGTCACTCTTGCTTTTTACCATTGGATATGTTGATTGTTCTTCTCTAATAAAGAGTTCCTTGGCTCCTGAATTTAAATACTGAATAAGCACACATATTTACTGAATCGTTGCCAAACTTGTTTTTTATCTGTTTGTTTCCTATGGCAAGGGAGAATTTCAAATCGCTTTGCTGCTCAGGGGAAATTGAAAACAGGATCTATTTTTGGTTCTCATTTAACTTCTCAAGATGGATGAGTGGAAACCTGTTATAACACTAATTTACTTAAAGATGTATTATGTGCACTTTGCTAAAACGCTGAGGGGAAAAAGCTTTGCTTTTGCAGTTGTTTGACCTGAAGCCAAGATCCTCCATGAAGCTGTATGAAGAAGACAGAATTATCCATATATTTTTATGCATACAGTATTATTGAACCGATTGGCCAGCGAATCTACGCCCTTCTTAAAATATATTTAAAAAGACAGTAGGGGGATACAAATGAGCTGAAAGTGTACCCTTTCTCTGTAGCTGTGCAAATCAAGGACTGATGTGGAGCATTTGGATGAATCTGCTCCCCACACCTGATGTCAAAACAAAATATTGCTTTCTTAGAGCCAGAGATTAAATGTTTCTCATTTTACAAAATGCAGTCCAAGTGCAAAGAGAGGTGCTAAAAGTCTCGATGTTATTTTTTTTACAACAAACCATAAAGGTTAGTTGTACATAACTGTTAGATAATTTTTACTGTATTAGCTGTAACTTCCAGTTGAGCACACCATGGTGCTCTACAGCTGAGTGCATAACATCTCTTGGTGCATGGGGCAGTATTGGTAAAAACTTATCCTGCGGTTACACCTGCTCTATGAATAGCAGTGTCATTTGTCATGCATTTGAACACACTGCCTGTTCAACACAGCTGTTGACAAATTTTAGGTTGAGATAGATTTGTTCTCTAGTTCACAGACTGGCTCTTTTCCCCCCCTCCATTGTATTTCGTCTCAGGCTAAGGAGAGAGATCTGCACATAATTGGATATTCAACACCTGTGTTTCAATTATCATAATATTTGAAGAATCTGGTGCTTCACTTAATGTTCCTCAAGTAGTTCTCTTGATTATTTGCTATTGCAGAGCTGCAGTAAACTTGTTTGTTCCTCCTTTTCTCTCTGCCGGAATTTGATTTCAGAAAGCAATCTCAGATAAAGAGGAGATTTCAGAGTCCTGATCACATGCTGCTGTTGTTGGCTTTGTTGCTGCAAGTGGCAACATAGAGTATACTTTACCTTACACCATATGAAATGCCAGGAGCAGAATACATTATTTTATTGTGATGTAATTTTTTTTTGTGAGCTGTTCCAGAACAGGCATATCTGAAGGCCACAATAGTTGTGTTCAGCAAGAATTTTATATAATATTTAATTACAAGACATACATGTATCGGAGGGTTTTTTGGTGAGAAAACAGCTCAGAGCACATACAGCAACATATCTCTTCTTTCTCTCTCTTGGCAATTACCCTGGAGTCATCCTGCTTGCATAAGCTTCAGGTCAATAAAACAGATTTCAAAGCATAATCCAGTATCTGCTGAGACACTAACTTCATCATGTGCCTGCAGAAAGTGCATATTTTTTCATCATCTCTTTCTCCTAGTGTGATTGTTCTTCTGATTTTCTTCTATGGAAGGATCCCGATGCACATTCAATGCGGTTTCATTTAAAGAATTTCTGCATGTCCTTGTTTTCCATCAGCATGCACCTTGCTTCTCTGTTTGTAATTCTGGGTAAGAATTGTTAGTTTTGTTTGTACAATTTGCAAAATTCATCGGGTCCAGAAGGGGCAAAGTTTATCACAGAAGTTTGATAAGATGGATAGATTCTCATTACAGGAAATAATAGTAAATTTAATGTAATTCTGTGTTTCATTATGTTTCATTTCATTATGTGTTCTGGAGCTTACAGAGTACTCATTTATTTTATTGTTGGTTTCAATAGCACTGTGGTGTGCTGTATATTCTAGGCGGTGTCAGTCATGATGAAATTGAGAATTTTCAACCCTTTTCATCTTTGGTTTTGGTGTAAAATTAGGCAAAATTTTGAAATGGTACATTCCATTAAGCTGGAACAACAGAAATTTTGGACATTTCTGGTTGAAAGAAAATTCTTTTACAATCCTCAAATGGAAGAGTTTTGCTTTGCAAATTCCTGTAGCCTAAAGCGAGTTATAGTACTGGTCCTTATAGTTATAGTACTGGTCCTTATTCAATTTCATGG